TCTCTGCTCGGTTTGCTGTACATCGCACTCAACCGGGACGTTTAGAGGTTGCCTAACTTCCGATGCGTACTGTTGTCTTGAAGCAAAATGCAATTGCTTGCACCTGTTAACCTTTGGCATGTGGTTTTGGTCAATTAGTTCAACCACAAATGACAATTCTGACCATTCTTATCATTTACTCACCCTCGATGTCGTTCCAAAACTATATAACTTTCTTTCAGAAGTGAAACACATAAGGAGATGTTTTGCAGAATGTCCAAGCTGCGCTTTTCCATATAATGAAATTGAAAAATCGAAAGCACACTTCAGAATCTCGCTGGATGTAGGTCATCCTGGTACTTTTTCGCCTAATGAATGAATTCGGACATACTACTCACATACTTTTTTTTGCCTACTAGATAGTATGGAAGTATGCATATTCAGACGCAGCGATGACTGTTTCTATAGACCTTATTTAGCCCCGCCAATTTTCAGTGCTGTGTTCATTGTGTCCTGTCTTTCGGTTTGTATTTCCACAGCATGAAGGTAAGATCTTACGGATTTATGAATGAACCGCTCGTTTTAAAATCTTCTTGATCTTCTGACTTTTGTCCACTTCATCAGCTAATTATTCTTCGACAGCGATGCCATTGTAATATACAGAGTTACTGCAAAAACGGAAGTTCAAACACAAAAAATTTAAGATGGCTGTGCGCTTGTTTCTCTGGTGCATAAGGTCTATAGTAACCGAAACTTCTAATGACATGCAGTGACTTTAACAATGGCGAGTGTTATTTTTTCCATTCATTTCTACAAAAGGGATTTAAAAAAATAAAAAAATAAAAAATTGTTGTTAATGCGTTATAAGGCATGAACCAAACCAGCGAGCTATGAGCAGGCCCGCATTAACCTGCCGTTAGGCCCTGGGGCTGAGAGGTTTTGTAGGCCCACAATAAAAAAAAAAGTCTAATGATCACGTTTGTCTATACAACAAAAGCAGAAATAAGTTTCTCTCCCCGAGATAAACTTATTTCCTAACGAAAACAGTATTCCATAAAAAAATCCACAACAACAGCAATGTAAAACCTCCACAGCACAGGCTACTGGAAAGCAGTAAATAGTCTAGTTTTAGTCGACGAAATACAATAAGATTTTAGTCGACTAAATTTAAAGTAGATTTAGTCGACTAAAACCGAATGGGTTTAGTGAAATTCTATGCATTCATTTAGAATTTCTCTAAAATTTCCAAACCCATTATATATTCCCGTAGAAAACATCTATTAACCTGTTAATATGAATAATTTTAAAAGTTTGAACATGCAATACTGTACAGACGCAGATTTAGAGCGGTGACATAACATAATATCTTAAAATTAAATAAAAACACTTCTTCTCCAAAAGTAGAACAGTCTTTTTTTTCTTCAATTAATGATTATGCAGTCTTTAACTTACATACATCATTCTTTATTCTTTCAAGCAGACATATTTATTTGTATAATTTAAGTATAATTAATCCATATTAAAGCTATTAAAGAGCAGTGAATGCTTTTCTCTTTTTATTTTGTTGTTTGATTAATATTAAGTGCACAGACGGCATTAGGTTTATTACGCACTGTCACTTTAAGACCGAGTGCGAAGATCCAATGACACTGATGCACATCCAATATTCTCACAACTGTACATTCATTCTGTAAAACATAACCGACTGTGTTTACGTGAATACTCTCTAAAACGGACATTTAGACATAATGTTGTGTGTATTTGTCCATTCAGACGCGAAAGAGAGCTCAATTCAGTCCTCGCGCGCTGTCTGTCTATATGTGCAGGGCTGCACGCTTCGGGTCGGGACCATATCGTCTCGTTTTCGTCTGTGAAAAAAAATTGTTGACGAAAATAATTACGCAAATTATTCGTCAACGAAATTAACACTGCCCGCCTGTTTGCTTGTCCTCTCCACTGTTCATCGATCGGTGCTCCGCTTAATGAGCTCGACTCACCTTCATTTGCAGGTTTAAAAAATCCTGTTAGCTTTGGAATCTTTTTTAACAATTCCTTCTCACTGTTTTCTTTCTGTCGCGATATTTTTCGTTTATGAGCACCACTCTCAAACTTTTTCTTCCTCAACATTTTGATAGCTATCATCAGCCTCTGTGACTAGCATTCATCAGCCTCTGTGACTAGCATAAATTTGAATAGACTACTATAGAAGATGACGCAACTGTTTCTCTACATTCTGATAGGCTGTCATATCATGCTTCCCACGTGGGTCACTTGTAAATTGGATCAATCAGCAGCCAAAAACATGAATATCAAGTGATTGACAGAAAATTCGACAAATTACAAAACAATGTGATTTTTTTTTTGGCTTATGATAGGCCCCTTGTCTTCATAGGCCCTGGGGCTTCAGCCCCAGTAAGCCCGTGCATTAATGCGGGCCTGGCTATGAGGTGAATCATAACAAAACAAACTTTGATTTGAAGCAAAAAGTATTTGAAAATCAGAAAAAAAATACGAAGGTACAAGGCTTTAGTGAGGGAAAGAACTACAATCCCATGAAGCATTAGGATCATAATCAAATTAAAAACAGTGTAGAAATATAAAAATACTAATTTAAAAATGTTGATTATATCTATAGAAATGTAAGTTTATTGCAAAATATGCATACACATACAACTATTTAAGTATTCTGAGAGTGTAGGGAGACTTGGTCATTTGCAGTGCTTCATGGGAGTGGGTGGAGCTAATGAGCTCTTTTGGCATGGTTTGCTTGTTTTGACTCTGATTGGTGACATTTGGTGTACAGCATCATGGGTAATGTAGTTTTTCACCACAAATTCCACTGCTAAACACGGTAATTTGAAAAATAAGTTAAAATAATACAGGCTCACGGCTTTAACAGAAGGAAATACCACCGATTAACAACCTCGTAGCTCACAGTGTAGGGATGTCTAAAAAGGTTTCTTAGATATCATTAATACTAAGTTTTTACTTCCGGAACCCAACTGTTGAACTCTATCGCGCATTGTACTTTCTCTCATTCATAAGTAATATAACTGCACCATCTTTGCTTGTAGCCTTGTCACATCTGATGTGGATAGACAAATTGCTTTTTGCTTGTGTCTTATCTCAATCGAAATCTGTTCCCAGCTGTCTTTCCTCAGGTTCCTTCCTGTCCAGGAAGTAAATACTGCAATCCTGACAACATATAGCACTTAACTTTACTGCACTGTGTGTCACGCTACACATAATTACTAATGCTTTGATACCCCAGCACTGGATTGCACTTCCTGAACGTTTTGAATCAGTCCGGCCTGTAACGAGTCACGACACACCATGAACGAATTAGGGGCGCCACTCATAACACAAATGACGCACAAGTGGTGATTCGCTGGTGGAATTTTGAATAAAAATGTCACATCAGCTATGAATTCATTTGGCAAAATGACTAGGCTAGACATAACAAGATCACCTTACTTCTATGTGGTGTACAGTGTGGTTTTACTTGAACACCCAAACAAACAGCACTTTGTTTCTTATTTGGAAAGAAAGCCAAACATAATTTCAGACGCTGAACATCTGACGACCTCCTTCTGTCATAACAACACAATTAAATCAGGCCTGTAAATTGCTCTCAGGATTACTGTGGAACATTCTAGACAAACAGAAATGGAGAAAAGCGAGACGTCGAAACAATGCGTTACAAACATTTTTTATGGAATTGTTATGGCCTGTTAGAGCAAACAATTAATTCCAGTTCCAATGTAATAAAAGAGCCCTGGATCAGAATATAAACATCTCTCAAAGTTAAACCAGATGCGGAGTGCAGTCGGGATTCGGGAGAGCCTTTCAAAGAGGGGGAAAAACAAGTGAGCTTTTCAGACAGGAAAATGAGTCAATAACCCCTATATTTCTCACTACTGCCACTGTTAGTTAAGGGGCCGCCTCATAGACAGAGGGCTAATCCTTCCAAGACCATGTTGTATAATGGGGAAAAAGCTAAAGAATTCTTAGAAAGACTATTGAGAGTAAATTCTTTGGATTCACAATAACACAACTGAGTGATGATAACAAGAGATAAATTCAAGGGCCACTGGGGGCCTCAAGCTGAGAGACCTGCAATGTCCTGACATCTGGAATTTTCTTTTTTAAATATTAAAAATTTCCCTATGAAATATTAGAAATAACTTTTTTATTTTACTTTTATTTCTATATTATCAATTGCAAACCGTAATATATTTATTATTATTTATCTAATATCAAATTATTATTATAAAATTGATTTATTGTTTTATAAATTTCTCAAATGGAATGACATGATCGGCTCCCAAAATCTTGAACATGAATCATCAAGACCAGGGTTATTATAGTTTACTGAACCATTTATAAAACCTAATACCATTTATTTAAAAAAAAAAAAACATTATTTGTTGCTTGAAATAAAAACATTTTTTGAAAAATATTTTGTTTCAGCTAGTAGCCAAGGCAACATTTCTCATTTTCATTTAGTTTAAATGAAAATGAGATAAAAAAAATAAAACAAAAATAAAAAAGTCCGAATTGCGAGAGATAAACTCTCAAGTATGAGGAAAAAGTCAGAATTGCGACAAATAAACTCTCAATTGCTAGTTATAATGTCAGAATTGTGAGAGATAAACTTGTTAGAAAAAAAGTTCTATATACTCACAATTACCGTTTTTATTTTCTATTAAGTAGGGGAAACAAGCTTATTTTAGTACTTAAAGTTAAAGTAAATGAAAATGAGAAATGTTTGTTTTTTTCACTTGTTTCGTGGCAGAAACAAGCTTCCAAAAACATAAAGCTAAAATAAAAAATGAATAAAAACTATATAGGCATACTTTTAAGGAAAAAACTCATAAATTACTAAATTACTAAAACAAACTTAAATTCAAATGAAAACGAAAAATCTAAAAACAAAAACTAATTCAAAACATGAAGAAAAATATAACTCAAGGATACTAAAATAACACTGATCAAGAATCATGAGAATCATATTGACAACATTAATTTTGTGTTTTAATAAAAAACGTAAGTAAACAATACAAAAATATGCAATTGAATAAATTGGATTTTACAGTATATATTCAGATACTGCAAAAGGTCTCTATTTACAAGAAGGTACAAGAAAGGTTACACATGGAACAAACTAGTAGCTACAATGTTGATTTACACAAATATCGCCAATACGTCAGTCTCTTTTTCAAATCACAATACGATTTACTGGGAATTAAACAAAACACCTTTTAAATTTCTTCGTATGACTATTTAAGTATACAACAAGGTCAAGTGATACAAACTCAGACACACACAAAATGACAAAAACACAACCCTGCAATGTGAAAACCATTAAAACAGTAGAATGTACTGTACATTCTTTGACTGTCCCAGCGTCCTCGTAAATACTGCAGCCATCAGACTGTAGCTGGTAATTTCATTGCTTGGTGGGTGGCTCAGTTTGGCCTTCACTTCAGCGAAACATGGCCTGGAAGTGTTGCTGTTTTGGCTGAGTAATCCCTCGAATACAAACACTACACGCATAACACTTTATCTCAATTAGTCTCTCCCATGCCCATAAGAATTTCAACCGTGTGTCCACATAGACTTTGCAGAGAGGCACATTTTTGGGAAAGCTGTACTTAGGAATGCGCAAGAAGATGATTCCATGGTTTTTGGGCATCGTTTTTGCTAGTGTGTTTTTTGCTTATAGAAAAGAGAACAAAAAGATGGCTGACAATGGCTGAAAATCATGGGAATTAATATATAATATAAATTAAATAAAACAAAAAATAATATAAAACATTAAATGTTAGAGAAATTTTCTAAAATACTTAATTGGCAAGAAATAGCTCTTTGTGAATGTATATATATATATATATATCATGCAGTTCTGACATGTACAAGAAAACTGAAGCAAAACCCACAATAAATACCTTGATAAAGGCAGCTGAACTATACGTATATATGGTGTCTCAAACGTGTTAACACATAAATAACAGACTTCATTATTTTTCTCCAATAAATAGTAGCTTGTAGTATATTTACAATATACACACTGTCAATTCATCAGATCAATTCTCCTGTTAAAACCACACATTTCCTTTAAATATGAATTGCATGCGTATAAAATACTAGTAGTGGTTCTTTGGTACAGAGGACCGTGTTGTGAGACTATATGGTTTCAAACAGGTTCTCTCACGTCTTATGTGCCATCATCATATGTACATGGAGCGGAACTTCTCTTGACATCCTCAGAAGAGTGAATTTTCCTCACTTCCTTCATTACCTGTAAGACAGAACATAAGTTCAAAATGAGTTCAGCAAGTCCATTGTGGAAATATCGTAATGGTCAAGTAATTCCAGTTGTGTGAAAACGTACTTCTACAGTGTCCGTAGTGGCGGACCCCTATGGATCGACCCAAAAAGCAGGTAGCCCTACGCAGGTGGCAGGCGCTTGGGTAGGTAATGTTGTCATTGCCGCAGATGGTTTGCTCAGTGACCATGGGCATCGGGCAGGGCGCAGTGCGGCACATGACACAGTGGGCGCTGTTGGTCTGGTCCGTCACACAGGTATGTGTACCAGGACATACGACATTTGAGCAGGATTCTGAAAGAATGGTGCCAAGGGTCAAGATAACGATGAAAAAACATAAAATACACAGGTCCCATGTAGAATACTTTGACATGAAAGTGTACACTGTAAAAAAGTTTTTTCATGATTTTCTATCACAAATTTTCTCTTTAGATAATTAATGTGCAGATAACATAATATTTTGAGTTTGTGTTGATTAAACCAATCTCCTTTGTATTAACTCTTTTTTTTTTATTTCAATGAACTAAAAATTAAGGCAACCAGGTTACTTCATTTTTTAAGTTAAACCAACAATTTCTTTTACATAAGCCGCATTTCCATTACAGATTTGCGCAAAACTTTTGCGAGATTTTCTAAATGTTGATAGAAAACTATTACGAAATGGCGCGCGTTTCCATTAACTGATGTAATGCGACTAAAACGTAATTTTTTCCTCTCGTGATAAGTCATTCCAAAAATCATGGCAATGGGATGTTGCTAGTTTCATGTATATTCCAGCCACCGCACCAGCCATTGTTTTTAATCGAAGGAGACGCAGGCGTGTTATCCAAGCATTAATGGCAATGAAAGACCCTCATACTTGAGAGCGCCACGAATGAGATGTTTCTGGGTGTTTCTCCCTCATATCTGCTTCGAGGTCTTAATTAATAGTGACATTTCTGTGTTGTTAAGAATCCAGTATTCCCATAATTCTTTTGTCTTTTATGAGTTTAATAAAGAACTCTGTCTCATCTTCTGTCCAAACATACCGCGCCATCTTTAAAGAATGATCACGTGACTTTTGAATAAGGCAGGTGACCTGCTGTAAATGCGATATGTGGGACTTTTGCGAAAGTGACGTGTTTCCATTGGCCATATTTTCAATTTGCAATTTCAATTTGCGCAATTTGAAGGGTAAAGGAAACGCGGCTTGTGTAAGAGTCTTTCATTTTAAGTACAATTAAGTGGCCTTTCACTTCATTAATTTATATTATCTGAAAGTACACTAGAAGTGCACATTCAATACTATTAAGCACACTTCTTTTTCACTAAGGCCTGGTTAATACATATGGTAAATTTTGAGTGATAATCTAACTATGAAGCTTTTCCTTCAGTCTGAAAAACATCTAAGCAAAATGATGGACTCTGCATGTGGAAGCTGAAAAGCAGCAGCGTACTTTTGCAATCCCCCTGGTACATAATCTCCAGGTCAGGGTGACCTCTGCAGCGAGCCATCAGGAGTGCGCACTCGTCTATGTACGAGTTCCCATCGCTCCCACACACGGCATGTTTAGTGGAGATGTTGGAACAGTCCGGAGAGCACACGCACTGGGGACGTCCAGACTTCATCCTGCACACCTTTCCAGGGCCACAGTTGACCCCCTCACAGTTCTCTGTAAAAGAAGGGGGATAAAGTGGGAAAAAGCTGATTATAAGTAACCCTATAGGATTTATTTCAATATTGAAAAGTGTTTGTTTCAAACTTGTAATTTAGAAGTGTGTTTATTACCTCCTTTTATGCAGGGCTATGAAGCACTGTTAGCACTGCTTTAGCAGTGTTAACCCCGCATTGCACACTACAGAACATGTGTAGTGTGAAACAATGCGTCTTAGAACGTTACGACTAGATGCTTAGCAACTGACAACCAATCGCGTGCCTCATATTCACTCATATTCAGCGTTTGATGGGAGAGATTTCAAACGGCGATGGGAAATTTTTCAATTGAAGTGAAGATGAGACTGTTTCATTCTTGCCTTTACATTCAGAAAAAAACTTTGACAGTACAGTCGGTGATGTGTAATATGAGGATGTGCAATGCTAGTGCAGGTCACATGTGACGTTCATCCAATCAATGACACTGACACAGCAGGGTTTAGAAATGTACAGTGTGAAATGTCAGCTTATGAATACCCAGGATTGTTTACCCTGGGTAAAGTATGAGCAGTGTGAAAGCAAGATAACACAGGACTCCATTAACCTGGGGTTCAGAATGACCCAGAGTTAACTATTTAAAGTGTGAAAAGCTCATCCATTGACATGTTTTTCAAAAAATGTCCATTCTTCATTCTTCCACACTTTGAAATGGATTCAGCTTCTGGTTCCCATTCCTACAAGTTCTTTAATATCCTGTTGCTCCCCTTCCCTGTGAAGCCAACTAAATCATTCAAGGCCGAATCAGATACCTCCACCTCCACTGGAAATCCCAGCATAACCCTGTTATGTTTCCTCAAGATCCGCAGGCAGTCACACATAATTTACGAACGGCCTTGTCTGCCCCTAAAAACAAATCTAAGGAAATGCGCCGGACAGACACTAAGCGTGAGTTGAGCTTTCAGGAATGCTTTGAAGCGTTTGACATTGAGAACACACTGGGGAGGTCACACAGTAGGGTCCGCTAGTCCATATAGTTTTATGATAATGGAAAGCAAACACCATGGAATAAACAATATAACAGACTTTCACTTCCAGTCTATCTTTCCCCCCAAGTGTCTAATGATGCTGATTGTGTTTGAGGCTTATGAGGACCAGACCTCTCCAGCATGTGGCACACATTTTTCTTTGCGGTGTGCTAGAATTCAGACATCTCTGAGAGGAAAAGGCAAAACAAGCCTGCTTTCCAATAAGAATTGGGAAAGACTGAATGCTGAGAGAGGGAGGAGGGGGGAGGGGGTTATATCTGCTATTGTGTCAAACAATTTATTTATTTTATGCATAATGACAAATATAGCTGACTTCCCTATGAGAGAAAAAATAGTCAATAGAGATCCTTTTTTGAAATAGCCAAGAGCCTTTACTTTAAGGGTACGCTTACATGACAACGATATGCTTAAAATGGAGAAGTTTTTCCTTTGAGTGTACCGTGTACAGACGACACCATTGTCAAAACGATCCCCATTCACACGGATCCGCGAAAACGACTAAAAACACTGTATTCTGCTGCCAGGCCATTAGATGGCGATGAAACACTATAGACTGAACACGTAATACACGTGCATGACGTCATCGTCTTCAGACATTTGCGTTTTGGTTGTTTACTCAGAGACCGTTTTCAAAAACTTGCACTTTGAAACCTGTTTTTAAAAAGTTTGCATTTTCAGCCACCCAAAACGCTGTTCTCGTGTGGGATGTGTAAATGAACGGCCAACATCCGTCAAATATTTTACGTTTTTAGTTGAAAACAGTGTAGTATAAACAGTCCCTCATTCACAGTCATGAGCCACAAGTTGCTACTTGCTATTGCTAATCGGAATTAGGTCGTATTAAGGTGCGGTCAAATTTACTGTTCTGTGAATTTTTGTGGGCAAATTCCAATCATTTCTATAGGAATCCACATGATCTTGAATTTCGATTTGCAAGTAGGTTGTATTAAGGTTTCCTAATAGAGTTTGCAATGGGTTGCTCAAGTTGCTCAACCAATCTGGGGTGCGTTTTCCGAACAACGACGTAACTTGCATACTAGAGCACGTTCGCACATGCACACTATTAAAAAACGATGCTTTAAATCTCTTGACAAACTAAAATACGTAAATTACATTTGTATTTATTTAACCTTTATTTAACCAGGAATAGTCCCATTGAGTTACAGTAACTCTTCTCCCAGGGAGTCCTGTATGTGTTCTAAATAAAAGATATAGATTGTACTGAATGTCAGCTTGCTTATTTGACTTAAGATAAGGATTTATTGAGTCCACGTCATGTAAACAAGAAACTATGCTCCTAAACACAGGTCGAGAGCTGTCGTTCCAACCACACAACTTTGCGATGCTGTTTGCGAATATTCGTTGGAACGATGGTTTCGGGAAACACCGAATATGACTATTGAGCTATGCTGATAACGACGGAACTTGCGTGGCTAACGATGCTTTTGGGAAATGCACCCCTGCTTGGTTTGGTTTTTGCCCCAAAATGTTTGCTAACATTATCGCACCTTCAGTGGGAAGGTCATTCTCATTCTAGAGAGCATTTGATTGGACGAAATAAATGAGTGCAGGATGAGTGATCAATTTTTTTTGGTCTGTTTTTCTGGATGACTATAAATTTTAAATGTGCTTATCTGCTAAAAGTGAATTTTAAGAGTACACTATTATACAGATGACCTCAAACTGATAGATATGGACTAAAAACCACAAAACTACAATTTTGAGCACGATTATGGGCTTGCTGGGCTGAGGAAATTCATTAAAATAACCATGTCGGCTAACTTGTTTACTCCAGTGATAACTGTCTGTATTTAAAATGTCTGATGATAGTAGAGTTTTGGAGCCCTTATGTGAACCTACGTACCTGGCCAAGGCTACCAGTAGTGAACTCTTTCCACAACAGCCGGAGAAAGTTAAACAAAACATCTGGTGTAGATCCACGCTTTTTAAACTTGCTGAAGAATTGCATTTGCAAATAAAACTCTCCAAACCAAGATTTTGCCTACAATACTAGATTTTATCTCCTCAGCAAAAATGGTTTCAGCCCTAATTTGCAAACAAGGAATGTTCTCTTATGTGTGTAGAAGGCTTAAAATGGTAGTAACCAGTTCAAGAGGGCTTCAGCACAGAGACTCTTACTGATATCAACAAGTTGGAACATTACAGTGGGACAACCCAGTCTACCTGCTGAGAACAGAGGGTAAATACGAGTCTGTACCTTTACACGGCTTACAGGAAACTATTCCCAGGAATCCCAGCAGGCTGACTTCATTAATGGGTAGACTGGTATTGGACCAGGCAGTGTCCAGACGGCCAGCAGCACAGCACTCTTCCCTGCTCACACCCCTCATGAGCACCATGTCACAGCGGTGCTCCGGACCCTGCTGCAGCCAGCACATTCCCGCTAGACACACAAACACACAATGAAAACATATATAATCCATCTCAGGGACAATGGCAACAATACAAACCTATATCAGAGATGTATTTTCTCCATTCCTTCTCACTTGTACATATGAAAAGTAGCCTATTTTTATGCCTAAAATAAAGATGACCTCAGATGTGTCATATTGTTGGCCAATAAAATATGTCACGCGAAATATCTTGTATGTAAAAAATTACATGACATTTTATATGGGCTTAAATAGGCTTTTATTCAACTATAATTATTTTTTCAGAATAAATACAACTTTTATATTTCCGTTTTATGGCTCAAATGTTGTGTCTGAAAATAGCCTAGCTGGTTAACGTATGTCACCCAATTAAGTTGAATAAAGTATGCAATAAATGGAATACCTGTGCAATACATCCTAGGTAATTAATAATAATAATTCATTACATTTATATAGCGCTTTTCTAGGCACTCAAAGCGCTTCACATGGAAGGGGGAATCTCCTCAACCACCACCAATGTACATTTCCGTTCATTTGCATTATTAACATATTATGTGTAATCAATGTATATAAAATGTATATATATAGGCCTATATATATATGTCTTTTTTTTTACAGTGTTTTCAAATATTTCAATAACCACAAAAGTTTTAGATTACATGCACTCAAGAACAGAAATCGCCTTTGCTTGACGAGGTAACCATGACAACAGCTGTGCGATCGCGGAACATTTGAACGAAAACTTCGTTATTCAGTATAGTAGATTTGTATTTGTTATAGATTCATCTTTAAAACGATTTACTTTAAAAATCCATTAAAAGTATGCTTATTACAAACGTAGCTAGTAGACTATAACAAAATGTGTTAATATATCTTGATTAACGTTAGTGCATTGACATCTAAACTTCTGAAGACTATCACGAAAAGCGAAATATAACATTAGTCAAATGCGTTATCTTTCACTTACCGTTCGTTCGATGTTCTCCAAGTATTTCACAAACTGAAATAAGTATCACACAGTGTAGAACAGCCAAAAAGTTCATGATGCTGCTGAATACTTTACACAGATGTTTGAACCAGCGGCTTTCCTTACAAGTATCAGATTGATAAAAAAAAGTCTACAGAGCCTTTAACTTGGGTTGTTTCCACTCGGTTTCGTGAATGGACTTGTTGTAAATGATTGTGGTCCGCCTCTGTATAAATATTTTGCCCGAGTAAATTATGCTTCTGGGATGGGCGATAATTCCAGCCAGTTACGTTGCTGATGCCGTTGTGTACTTGAGTCAGTTCTCGGATATGAGGCTGAAAAACTCCCACACTTCATCTCAGTCCGTCTGAACTCAGTTAACGTTAACCAAGAAATTTATCATGATATCTTCAATGGCAAATTATGCAGATGCATGTAAGTCTATGCACAAAGGTTTATTTTAAAAATTTAACCCACGTTTGGCTTTCAAAAAAATTATTTGATTTAAGAAAAATAAAACTTTTAACATATTAACCATATATTGGCCAGGAAAAAAATATATATTTTATTATATAAATATGTAAATAAACCAATATAACATTGCCCGTGAATAGAAAAAAATACCCTCGTCCTGAGAACAAAGATCAACCTTTCAGTTCAAATCTACCTCAATTGAATAGCTGAATCTTGTCTGACCAAAATACAAAACCACTGCTAGAGAAAAAGACAGTTTGTGTAACTGCTGTTTGAATTGAAACCGGTAGCACTTTATTTTACAGTCCTGTTCCCCATGTACTTACTATGTACTTATTATAGTTATTACAATAACTGGGTAATAACTATAGGTTCTAACCCTAAACCTACCCCTAACCCATGTAGTTACCTTATATTACCCAGTACTTTCTTATGTAAGTACACTGTACTAAATACACATAAGTACACGTACTGTAAAACAAAGTGCAACCTCAAAACCTCATAGTTATTGAGATGTAGCCCTTGTAAGTTGTAACCTCCTCATGTGACAACTAGCCCTGGGTATTTATAGCAGAACTAATAAATAACAAAAATATATACATTTGTAATGTGCAAAATGTTTCAAAACGCAGTCTGTGTGTAATGGTCTTGATCTGTTTTAGTTTCGCTTTTCATTCTGTTTCTGTATGCCAGTGTTTCCTGTCATTATTAGTTACCTTGGTTGCTGATTTGTGTTTCACATCTGTTCGCTGTTTCATTGATTACTCCCTGTGTATTTAAACCCTGAGTTTTCCTTAGTTCCATGTTGAGTATTATTGTTATGTTATTTGTTTGGTATATGCTCTCGCTCTTTTGGTAAATAAAAGTCTTATAGTCATTAATTCCATGTCCCGCTTTTTTGTCCTTGGATTACACTGCGGCCCATAACAGAATACTGGACCAAGACCAGATTAAAGTGGCAAAAAACAATGGACTTACCTGAAGTCTGTTTACTCTGCCAGGAGCAGGGAGATCGCTCACTTGAGGACCACACAAGGGACTTATAAGAACTGGCTGTGAACTGTCTTTGAGAGAAATTTGTGGCGTTTGTGGAGTGGGTGCTCGTGAAAAACGGATCAGTATCTACCATCTTCCACACTTAGGAGGGTATCACCACCCCCACTTCGGATCCAGAGCCCAGCCAGCCGCCTCCCAAAAAATGCACGGAGCCTATGCCAGAGCCCACCGCAGATAAAGAGTCCCACCCAGCTCCAAGTCTCCTGCATCTCCGCTAGTCCCGTCCAGCTCCAAGTCTCCAAGTCTCCTGTGTCTCTGCTGGTCTTGCCCAGCTCCGCGTCCCCTGTGTCTCCAAAGATCCCGACAAGCCTCCCTCTCCCACCTCCTCTACCTATTATAGTCAGTTCCCCAGCCCTGCTCTGCTGTTTCCCTTCAGTCCCTCGGCTTCTTCTCTGGGTGGATCTGCCTTGGGTCTTCCAGTCTCCAGCTCCGCCTTGGCAAGAAGATCCCCTGGCTCTGCCTCCAGCCGCCGAGCCAGTCACTCCACCTCGGTTTGTCGACCAGTCGGCTCCACCTTGGCTCCTCCCTCCCACGACTCTACCTGGGACCATCGTCCTTACAGCTCCACTGGGCTCCGCCTTGGTCAGATGACGCTCTGCCTGCATTACGGACTTCCAGGCATTCAGCTGCGCTTTGTCCCTTTACCCCTTCAGCTCCGTGGGGCGCCGCCTTCAATCCGCTCCTCGTCCGGCTCCGCCTTAGTCCTCGGGCAACCTGGCTCCGCCTCGGTCTCCAGATCCATCGGCTCAGTCTCAGTCTGTCATGCCCCTGGATCCGCCTGCCAATTATCCACCATGGCTCCTCCATCTCTCAACTCCACCAGGGCCTTCGTCCTGTCTGCGCTCTAGGTCTCCCTCTTGCCTTCATCTCCTCCCTGGCTCCTGCCACCATCATCGCCACCCTGGTTTCTCCCGCCGTCATATCCTCCTGCATCCTACCTGGTGCCAGCCCCTCATCCTCCTCCAAAGCCCCCTCCCACCCTCCTAAATTGGACTAACAGTCTCTTTCTGTTTTCTCTTGCTCTTCGTGGTAATTAAAAAGTTGTATAGTCATTCATTCTGTATCTCGCTTCTTTTTCCTTGGATTATACACAGCAGCCTGTAACACTGTTGTCACCTGACTTTAATTTTAATTGCAATACTATATGTAATATTTGTACAAAAATAATCTGCAGGACTATTTAAATGACCTGCAAAATAATGTAATCCACGATATTTTTTACTTTATAGATTAATATTCAGCATGAGCATAAGTTCTCAGGAATGCTTTTATTGCTAAAAAAGCACTGTTTGCTAAATGCATAAATGTTAAATAAATAAATAAATTAAAAAATAAAATCTTAATCTTGAATAATAATTATAAAAAAAATTAATTTAAAAATGTATTGTTAGAGTGAATACTTTTAAAACTGGCAATTTCTGTCAATACAACAAAGGTAATTTGATACATAATCAAAATTATGCTTCTTGTCAACACATTCTCATCCCAAGGCGTCATCTAACTGACACTTTTGACCATGCGTCAACATGCCGACACACATGGTACCCCTTAAGCGTCAATATGAGACGCTCATCCTCGGGCGTCATCTAACTGACACTTTTGACCATGCGTCTAAATCCGACGCACATGGCACCCTTTAGCTAGCCTGGTTCTACCAGACTCTCGTACATTTCATTTGTACAGAGAGTCTGGCCTCGCTCCATTGAGAAACGTTTACTTCCTTGTAGGCGGGTTCTCTGTTAAAGTTCAAAACTATTGGATCTGCCCAGCGTCACTCAGGATCTGCCATAGCCAATCGCTAACGTGTGGTCGTGACGTATGTCATGCGCCGAACCCGGCTGGAAACAACAAGTCCGAATTCCATATTCATAAATCTAAATATCTAAATGCTAAACCTCTCTTTCTTATATTTGTGAAAGAATTTTAAAAATACCTCTTTTCAATTAAGTTGTCTGAGAACAAAAAAAGCCTTAAAAACATTATCTGTTTGTAATTATTTTCCTTTTTTCAGTGTCATGTAATTCTCTTAACTTGTTCATGTTTATTTTATATTATCCCCCTACTGTTTTATTTTTGTTTTGTTTTTATTATTATTTTTTGTTTGTTTTTGTATTATGTTTTCTGTTATTACTTGTGTATTGTTTTAAGCAATAAAAAAAAACAAGTCCGAATGATCAGAGGATTATGTTTAGAATAAGATGTCTGTCAACGAGAGCTGCATGTTTTGTTCATCGAATTTAAGAGTTCAAGGAACAATTCTAAATTCTAAATGTATATTTGACACTAAGGACAGTGATGTATTCAGTCAACTGTCGAAGCTGGGTGTAATCATTAACACTACGCCGCTGCGGTCGTTTCGGATCTGCCGCAAATGCTGTACAGTGATCATCGTGCACGCCGAGCTGCCCAGCACCAACTCCTAACCTTTCTGCCTCCCTCACTTGGTCCTCCATTAGTGCAACAAGAGGAGACGACAACAACTATCGGCTTTGCATCCTATCGTTCGCCTTAGCTAACTCATTCACCACTAGCGGAGTGAGCTGGAAAATTAAACTTTTCCCGAACCCCGTGGGGAGGAGGGCCACAACATCATGGCCACCAACAACACTTAGCAAACATTGATCTTGCTCCGGCTTCAACTTCTGGATATTCGGCAGTTTTGCAACAACGGACCGAATAGATTTTCTCACGTCTTTCTCCGCTGCCATTACTGAACTCCAACTCAAACTGACGCGCTACATCAACGTCATCGTTCTCAGCCACTCCCTCTGTTCGCTGATTGGACCGGTAAAAAAATTATTTCTGGAAACCAAAGTCTACAGCACAATCCCAGACGTAGTACTGAAGGAAAATAAAATTGAGCGGAAGTGCGTAGGAGGGCGGAGCCAGGCTACCCTTTAGCGTCAGTTATGCTGGGTACACACCAAAAGATTTTTTACATCTTATAAGATTTTCAAAACATGATAGACCACAAACATGAGGACAAAAAATCCTAGATGTAAGCGTTTTGCTCCTATAGTGTGTGGTGTGCCATAATGAGACAAAGACAGCACACCACACACGAACAGATTTTCAACCAGAGTCTCGACTGTGAACAAAGGAAATCTCACAAAATCTCGCGAGACTTCAGAATAAGCTTGGCGGACGATATGCAGGAAGAAATTGCGATGATAGTGTTTGGAATGATTTTCACAGAAAAACATTCGTGCTGTTGCCACAAATCAACAAGCTGATCCTCCATCTCTGCTGTCCACATCAATTTAACTTTTTGCAACACCATGACTGCGTTTGTTATGCTTCCGTCTTCCATCATCTCGCTTTCTGATTGGATCTTGTTTCGTTTCACGTGATAATCTCCAGAGCGTGCGCATGTTTGTCATCGGGGTTCCCCCCACACATCAGGATTTCTGATCGAATATTGAATATTTACGATTCGCGATCGCTGTTCTCTGACGTTCTTCCGAGCAGGTTCGGACACTCTTAACACACCTCACACCAAGGGAAAATCTGATAAGATAATCTGTAGAACCATCAAGATATTCGGGACATAGCTAGGATTGTCGGAAGGGGGAAAATCGGCCCAAAATCAGCCCGAT